TTCTGCTACGGATGCTGAAAGTAAAAACAACTCAAATCCACTTGGAAGCAAAATAAATAAATAAATAAGTCAGAGAAATGCTGCTAATATGTTCTGAAAGAGACGCGAGCGTCCAGATGTCTTTGCTCAAGGCTGAACGGGGCTCTGAGTGAGATGAATGTGCAGTTTAGGTTTTATTCACGAGAGGATTTTAATCCCCCCGCAACACTGAAATCATTTTCTCACAGTCTTCAAGCATTTTGCAGAGCTGCTCTTTGATTTATTGCCATATTGAAATCAACATCTATCCTCTTAAAAAAGCTGCAGGTTAACGGTGCGAGCCAACGCTTTTCCCTTTCGCTGGAATCCAAAAATCTATAAAAGTCATTTCTGAGCCGGCCGTTCGATGCCAGAGTCAGACATCCTGACCAGACGTCACCAGAAGCAAAACTGTTCACTCGCACAAAAAACGCCAAGTGTACATAAAATAAAGCCTTTGCAAATGAAATAAATCTGCCTCTTCAAATAGACTGAACCGCTGTGTTGGTTTCTATTAAACGATTTGCCACAAAGGAAACATTTTAATAACACTTTTTAAAAGTTTGAGAACTGGGAGGACCAGTAGGTTTTAAAGGGGATTATTTTCCCTCTGCTTGTTTTTATACTAGATTTATCTGATCAGAATGATCTGACTGTACCCTTCAGTGCCGTATTAGCAAAACATCATTCACAAATGTGTGGGTGGTAGTAGATCTTTGTAGAAAACTGTTTTCAGATGTATTAAGATTTTCTTTATAAACTAGCTGCTTTATTTCATGACACCTGGAGCTGACTTAGAGTGATTTTATAAAACATTAAAGTACATTAATCGTATCAATTATCGGTTGAGTGCTTGTTTTGTGGCTCAGTCTACTAAAATACATTTAATTCCATTTATATGTTTAAATACTGAGTAACAAGTTGCTGTGGAAAAATAAGCTAAACTTTGTTGCAGGTTTAAGATATCTCATGTAAACAGAAACACGCAGCCTCTTTTTTTTTTTATTTACGGGAACTAAAGTTTTTATTAGTGTGTAATAATGTCTGATTCTAGTGAACATTGGGATATGTTCAGAAACATCTCAACCCTCTGGTTTGTCACGTGTTTGAAGCAACATTTTCAAACTGCGCCTAATACTTAAAACAATAGCCGAAATGTAGCGTGTTTTGTGCACCTATGCCACAATGACTCAGAGTGAACATACAACAGGGCACCAGGCCAGGGACTCAACCTCTGAGGCGAGTCCGATTTCAAAGAATTTGTCTGCATCAGGAAGAAGAAGAGGAAGTGAAGTCAGGGGGCGAAACAGGTCTTCAAACGCTGATAATCAACATAAACAACATCCAGCGAGCTGGCCTGGATCATGGAGCCAGCTAGCTAAAATCTTGACAAAAGGCTAGCTAAAATCAAAGTATCAAAACCGGACACTGATTTCTGACTTGACCATCCTTTCAATGAACTGCCCCACTACTGGCATTGTTCTATCACGTTTTCTTTTAGTGGTCGAGAGCTGAAATCTACGCTGATGGGATCTCTTTACAGTTAAGACAACAGTGTTGATATGAAACAGGAACTTAGCACAGGAGCCAAACAGCTGCACATAGAAA